CTCCCCGCGTTCCCCGCCGGGGTCCCCGACGGGGACCCCGTTCCCCGACGAACACTAGTTCCATCTTCAAAATCCTATGCGTATGTACCATGTTTTCGAAGCGTTCATCCAAATCGAATTTGTATCTCCGTTAAGAATCCGTTTATTTCCTTGATCTCATTATTTCGTACAACATTCAGTCCTATTGACTGAATATTAATTGTAACTGATTTGTAACTGATTAATTGTAATTTGAACCTTTGGCTACCATTATCATTATCGATTTGTCGTTGTGTGCTACCTTCTCAGTAAGTTCATTCATGAACATCACGGGTGATTAACAGTCAATGTTTTTCAAACACAAACTTGGCACCACTGTCGTTTCTGGGCAGTTTTTATCAATGTTTATGTTAATCGAGGCTCTGATTGAAGTTTAATGCTTGGATTCCTACTGCAGTTTATTCAAATTTGAGCTTATGTTTAAACTTTGGAAAACCTGTCGAAATAAAAAACTGAAAAACACTGAAAGAAAAAACTTGAAAAGCTGTTCATCTTAAGAGACTCCAAACAAGTAACATTAACCAGGAATTAAGCCTAAAAATTTTCTCCTAAACGAGAAAAGTATCAAATTTGACAGTTTCAATTTTTTGATGATACATGTTGCATCTTAGCGGGGTGACATAAATTGAGGTTAAAACAATGCGCACGGAAACGTGAGCATTGTGGCCAGCAACGTTATGAACGTTTGATAGCCTAGCCAATCCAGGTAAACATGTTGCATCTTAATCATCGTTGTTGACCTTTATTCATTTCATCATATCAAGTCATGATGTTTTTTGAAATATTGTCCAATCCAAGCAATTTTTAGTTAGCTTTTCTTTTCCGAACGGCTGAAGAATGTGAATATGTTTGCTTTTTCTTTCACTATTCATCAATTCGCTCATCGATGCTCTATGTATCCAACTCCAAAACAAAGAAAATTCATTTCATTCCACAGATCGATGAAGTGAAGGATGGAGAAACAAAATGCGAACAACAACCAGCAATCATCACTGTGTAAATAAATCTCTAAGTCGTTTTTTGAAAAAAAAAGAAGAGACAATAATTTTATGAATGCATATCTTCTCGTTCACGTGAGGTTTGCGCTAGCAGTTCGCCTACCGGTGTTTCGTCTTCGAACCATTAAAATATTTACCATAAATGCTTATTACATTATATGCTTGTTCATGCGCATATAAACACCAGTTTGATGAATGGCTTCAAATTGTGAAAATTAGAAATTTTCAATTTGATTCGAACGTATACTTTAGCCATGAACGAATAAATGATGCTTGCTTACAACCAAATATTCATAACGGAAACGTGACGACGTTCAAGATCTGAATAATCAAAATGTCTAATGTAATTGATTCCATGAAATGACGGATGGCATTCATTCTGGAAGGCAAAATATCTAGAAGAGGAAGTGTGGTGTGCAAATCTTGGAGCGGGGAGGGGGACGGAAGTAACCCGGAGGCGAACCTTCCAAAAGCAACCAACTTCGTGGCAGGAACTGCTCGAGGTGGAATTTCCATATCCCTATCTTCCAATTCATATATATTTTCCGTTCTTTTCAGCAAACGTTCGCCTTTCATTATCGTTTTCTTTGAATTGAAAAGTGAATGAAACGACAATAATTATCGCTCGTTGACTGAAGCAGCAAGCACTCCGACAAATGATAGAAATATGTAGTAATAATAATACTTCGTTGCTGATATTTATTTATTCATTCATTCATGTTATTGATCATCATTAAATATCCGTCTCTTGTTCTATTGCATTCAAATACACATTCTACACGAAATAATTCATGTTGTTTATGAAATTTTATATGCTGATCCGTATTATCGTCGCGTACCAATCACTCATTTGTGCTGATTTTATTTTTAAAGTTCAAACGGATATACGAATATACATAAATTATTTTTCCTGTGATTATAAACGTTTTTGACGTTTGCACATTAATCAACGCTTACTGATCTCAGGTATCTTGTTCCTGACTGACAACGGCCCCGTTTTAGCGTGAGAGCACCAGCAGCTATCATATCGATGAAGTAGAAGAAAAAAATATGCATGTTCATTAAGCAGTTCGGATAGTTAAATGGATACCGCGCCAATTACTGATAGTCAAAGAGTGAAAATGTAGTCCGCAAAAGGGACTCAAACCCTACACCTTTTGCATATCAGGCTGCTTAACTAATTCACTGGAAAAATGCTGTAGGACAATCAAAATATTACTGAATGACAATGGCAAATAACAACAGTAAGAGATATTCAATATCAGAACAAATCATATCAGCAGAATGGTGTGCTCATGAACATGATCAAACGAACGCACGACGAATCTGTCGGGTCGATGATTGATGTAATGAACATCAATGATAAATGGTCTAAATCAAATAGTAAGCTTTATAATGAGAATATGACATAAAAAGATTAGCTTATGAATAGAATGCACGGTGAATGAGGCACAGGCAATCAGAGAACTGCGAATAAACTCCGCCTGCTCTTTAACGATTGTTGCTGTGCTAGGAGAGAGTGTGTGAGAGTAGAGAACAAAAGAATGAAAGTGCAGTGGATAGATGGCAAGACGGAACGAGAGAATGCAAGAATGGCACTAGGAGAGATAGATGCGCGCGTGCTGCTTTTAGTAGTTGTATAAGAAGGGACGGTAAATCCTTGGTGTGCTGAGGTGGATGTGTACTGGTGTTTGTTTGTGATGTGATATGATAATGTGATAATAATTGTCATATTGTAAAGCTACCATTCAGTTCGATGAAAGGCCATAATACGATCATAATGACACGTTCTGCCATAAAATTCAGCACTTTATTATTATTATTACTATTTGAATTGTTCCGATCAGTTAACACTGCTAAATCATCATCCTCATCACGTATTCAACATCAAATAACAAAATGTGAACCAATTTCTATGGAACAGTGCAAAGATCTGCCATACAATGATACACGGTCGGTGAATTCATGCTATTGTTCTTTGATGTAGTTTGAGGACTTAATAGGTAATTGAGTAATGTGCAATATGAATGCAACATTTATCGTGCAATTATTCACAGTGATTTGATTTGCGCAATAAAGTCGTTAATGGATATTTGAAGTAATATAATAGATGGAACGAATTTGTTGTTATTGTCACATAAAGTGAAATGATATGAGAACAGCTGTGGTTGTAAAAGGAGATGAAGGTGATCGAGCAAGCACAGACCGCTTTTTAATGCTCATTGTGTTTGTTTGTTCACTTCTAATGCGTTCACATGTTTTTCGCATTATGATCGCGCAGTTTTACGATTATAATAACCATTATTATAATTATCTATTCATTAACATTGCTTCATCGATTTTAATTTGACTGTCTGTCACTTGAAAGTTGAATGAGGTGAACCTTGTCTGCTTCTTTTACTGCTCTTCTTTTGGGACAGATGCGATAAACCGTAACACGAGTGGAACACATTCAACTGAACACACCGTATCATTTAATTGACCAGTCCATTTCATTATCCACACAGTTTGATTTGATTACGTTCGTTTTGTTAATTCGACTTGATCTGGCCTTAGTACTGAACATATTGTTTGATGTTAGTTGCAATTAGAATGTTCACGCATTAACCATCCAATAAATAGCGCTGAAAGCAATACATATTAATAGTAAGCACAATAATATGCACCATGCGAACATTATAACAAGCAGTAGTCAGTCATTCAGCGCTCTTCTCTTCTTCATAATCTATTAATTTTATGCACCAATCTCTTTGGTATTATTGAATATTTTGTTTCGAAATTCGTATGACAGTAATTAGTTTCGAAATACTAATTGACTTCCGATTTTATCGCTCAGAAAGCTGCCTTTTGTTTTGAAAACAATGTGCGTGAAATTTTGCATCAAAAGAATTAAACTGAAAATTTGCTGAATCAGTTCGTTTCATTTTACCTAGTGATATAATCAGCGAACTTTGAATTTCAAAATTTTTTTGGTTTCATTTTCTTTGAAGCTACCTCTGTCGTAGAAAACGACCTAAGTCAAAATTGGGAAAAAATTCAAAAACTCATCCACATTGTGCGATTTGGTGACTCAGATAAAAAACAAAAGATGACGTGACCTTTCAACGCTTTTTTTTTCTGATGAACTCTTCTCACACAGGTTGTTTACCATCTGAAAGGCATCCTTTCAGAATGGAAGACCAATTCGGGTATTGCGGTGATTCCGACGGAAAAAACAAGTTGACTCTTCCACTTTCTCACCTAATTTTTTTGAAACGAACTTTCACGCATACCAAAAGACATCTTTTTGAAGGGTGGAATTTCAAAAATTTCAAAATCTAAAGAATAACTATCAATCACTTCACCGAATACAGTGGAACCTCCGTTCATGAACACAAATGTCCTCTCAAAGTCAAAAGTCCTTCACGTTCCCTTCAAAAAGTGGTCATGAAATGTTTTTTCATAGCAATCGGCAGAAAATGATTTCATTTGTTCTCCGTGACCCAAATCAATTGATAACGTAAATTTTTACTGAAAGTAGAAAGTACGAACAGTACTAGCATGGTGAAAAAATACGAATGTGTTTTTGTTTTATGGAAAACATAATCTTTTTTTTTGATGATTTCCGGAACATTGCTTCCAGAGCGTAATCAGCACATTTGAAAATTCGTCACTAGATCCTAGTTGTGGTTTCTTATCTGAAAGAGAACCGTTCCGATCACATCTACTCGATGACTACTTGTAGTACTAATTCCTTGCAGACGAACCGATCTCTCCACTATCGCAGATGCCTCAATTACCTTTTCACAATCACAACCCTCTCCAACTACTACCAAAAAGCGTTGAATTACAAAACAAAATCGGTGAACAAACTGCATAAACGGCAAAAATGATTGAAGTTCAATGTTGTCCCATAAGCCGAAAAGTAAGCAAAAGTCTGTCATTAATCCTCTCATACACATATGTTTGCTTGAGAGCACGCCAGAAAATTTGACAAGTTTGATGGAAAATAGTTTCATTTGCTTCTGCACGTTGTGTACTGGCTGACGGCTATAGCTGTCCTCTGCGTTCTGATAATTACACAAATTTCTTCACAACAAACGATTAGATTTACTGCACTGAGCCAATGTTTGCCTGTGCATATTTTGTTGATCTATCCGCAGTAGATATTTGTTTTTTAATCTGCAATTTTACTAAAAGTAATTCCTTTTTGATCATGTCTTTCCAACTCATGCAAGTTCTTTCCACCTTGCATTTTGCCTGTGATTTGGCTATGAAAAGTAGTTTGATAAGTGTTGAATCAGACTCCCTCATGACATATCCCAGCTGGTCTTGGCACATTCTGATCGATGCTTTTTCAAGAACTTATACGTGATCATTTTTTCAATAAATTTTCCAGTTGATTACGCATGGCGATGCTTTCGACTGGATCGCAGTCAGAACAATCCAAAAGACGTCACATGAACGTACATTTTGCTAGGTCAAGTTTGTTTGTAAGAGTCCGTGTGCTTAAATGATATAGAACCGTTGAAAGCAATCGTAAACCGAAAGGATTTTTCGCCGAAAAATTTGTTCGTAAATCGAATTGATAGAAGCAGCAATAGAATGAACGCGATAGTATATATTTAAGCAACGCTAAAATTGATCATCTCTCCCCTCCGTCTTTCATATTCTTATGTGGTCGTCAGCACAACAGTAGTTAACTGATTTATGTATTATATGAATATCATTTTTTATTTGGTTCGTCTTTTGTTGATTTGATTAATTTTTATGATATTGAAGCACTTTCATACCATAGTGCGATAGGGGCAGAACAATTGAAGGTAGTTGGAAGTGATGTGAAGAGAGTTTACAAGATTATCGAGTCTATTCATTGATTTATTTGCGTTTCAACGAGTAAATCTCATATCTGACTAGCGTATCGAATCTCTTAACTGATCATTAAACAAAATAATTTTTATCACCTAAATGAGTAACCATTTTGAAATAACTGATATTATTGCACATTCATTTTTTTCAAAATTATTTCTGCAACTGTTGATGTTTTTATTGTGCTAGAATGGTTTAAATGTTTCGAACAAAGGATAGAATTGTAATGAACGTTTATACCATGCAAACGAATTTTAAATAATTTGGTTATTCTCATACTGTGCAAGCTCGGTTTACGTACACAGTTCATTCCGAGAGTTTGTTCATAAAATGAATTTAGTTCATAAACCGAACTATGACTTTCCATAGTATGCGTGAATCAGAGCAGCATGAAAAGCAACCTTAGAAAGTCAACAGTTTCAATGACAGACTCTTTGTTCCTAGAGATAAAGAAGTGAAAGTATGATGTTTGATTGCAATGAGAGCGTCTTCTGTGATAAATTATGGAAAAGTGCTTGGAGAAATTACCTCAAAGTCAATGTTCAGTATTTTTAGAAAGTTGTTCACTAGAACCTGGTTTTGATAAGCTGATTCATTCTCTTCTGATAAGCCTGGTTGCTAACTAGTTCCAGCTTCGAATTCACTGCGAATAAACGATCTGTTTACTCTCGCTCCAGGCACCACTTCAACTGATGAAAACACATTGCGTTGAAATCTAATAATATGAATGACTGAAATGCTAGATGAGTGATATTCAGAAAATCGAAAATTGCCAAGAAACGTTCAAAACCTATCACGAATCTAATTTTGCTCACGAGCCCGATGAAAAAATCCCTGAATTTAATCAAAGTTTTTCGTAAACCGAAACAAAATTTGCCGAAAATTTTATTCGTAAGCCAAAGCACTCATAAATCGCACTCCCAGTATATTTTCGAATGATTGATCGAGTGCATTTCACTGATACTGAATGAAATGAGGGTTGTTATCATGTTATTGAAGCTCAACAAATAGATCATTCCTTTAGTGAAGAATAAGTATGCAGATGAGAAAGAAGCCCAATGATTGAAGAGTTACAGTTAGTAGACGTATTGACTTCACGTCTGCATAACACAGTGTACTTATGTGCACGCCACATTCAAACAGCCTTAGATGTTACCATTCATAAGCAATGCGTTGGCATTGCTTCAGAGCAGTCACTAATCATTCAGCGCATTCTTCTTTCCATTTATATCAGTGTCAATATATAGCTCAGACTAGTGTCAATATATAGTCCCTAGGGGCCCGATGCTTCCGGCTTTCTTGAAGACACGCGGATGTATATATATGTGTATCTGGATTGATGGCCTGAAATTAACCTAATTTAAGGTTTCCGAATCTAGTCGGCGATGAAAGCGCAGAAGATGCAGAAAATGGATTCAGTACTTTCGATCCTCTGATTAAAATTCGATGTTCATCGCAACTGAAGTTCTTTTTGTGTTCAATTTATTTCCCGATGTGCACCGATAAGGTTAATACTCGATTCCAGTGAGATGAGTAATCGTTGAATATATTCGTTTTGTTTTGTTATGATTTATTTTGAATAATTTTCTTTAAAATAAGAATGAGTCAATCCTTCTTTAAGAAACATGGAAATAATGAAATAATATATTATGCTTTCTCGATTAAATATCCACGAGATGTAGATTTTCTATGTTTTGAGGTGGATATGAAGGGGATTTAGATATTCCAAGATTTTCACGGCGAAAAGGAGTTGCTGAACTGGTGCAAAAAAACGCATTTAAAGCTATTCAATCACTACGTCTCTACCTACATTTATTCCTATCAATTTGGAGAATCCTTTTAAGCATATTCTCTATAACAGTGCTGCTGACGCTCGCGAGCTCCATTACCTCCTTCGATGGTCTGGCAGGCCGTCATTACCCCTCCTCCCATCCCCGATTACAAGAACTTACTGTTTCCATGAAAACAATCTTGGAAGACGGTTGAAAGCAACAACATGTTTTAGTATCTCATTCATAAATATGAAAACAATAATTTTCAATCTAGAATTATAATACATCCACAACAGCGCAGTATACATTTATCACAAATGGCTAGTTGCTTCGTTCAAAAAATTCATTTACGATCCGAAAATCCCAATAGATGCAGTAATTAAGAAACTTATCAAAACTTTTCAATGCAACTGAACAATAATAATGAAGGAACTGTAAAATACTCGCTCTCTTCGCACCAAACCAATGATCTTTTCTGTCGTACCAACGAACTCAGTCAGTTCCTGTTGTTCACGAGATGTCAGCCTATGCCTTAAAGGATTTATAGAATACTCGTGACTACTAAAAATTGACTTTTGTTCAACTCTAGACAAACTAAAAATACTCAGAAAATAAGAGAAAAAAGAGTGTTGCCGTGAGCGAACCGACTTTAGATATCCAAGTAGAAAAGACCGTCACAATGGCGTTCCATCAAATCATAATAATTGCACAAAATATTAGTTTGCCGAACTCTCAGTTACTCCGAACTTCCCCCAGATTAGCCTTGTAAGATCGGTGCTCTACAATAAAGCACGTTGAATTTATGAGCGGGTGAAAGTTTCCTAGGGATATATTGAAAGTGATATATGCGTTGTTTATTTCCAATGAAATGGTATGTGTATATGCAACTATATACCTAGCTCTTTCATACTTCATTCATTCGAATCTTTACCTATCTGTAAAGATTTGATAAATAATTACATATCTGTAAATTATTTACTGATCATTCACAAGTTCTAACCTAACTTCAAGGTACCAATTGCAATCGGTCCTTGTCGACCGTTATGTGAACGCGTTCAAATGAAGTGTGAGCCTTTACTGAAGGAGTTCGGCTTCTCATGGCCAGTGTCAATGAATTGCTCCAAATTTCCTCCGGGTAACTAATCACTTATACAGTTTAGACTTATGCAGTTTATGAATGGTCGGTTACGTTGATTTGATATCATTATAGATACGTAGGTATATGTGTACCAGGGCTATCCGTTCCCATCACATTTTCAGCACTCAATAATTTCTAGAAAATAATCACGATGCAATGTGCATGAAAGGACCAGCATCAGATGAGAGTGCTGCATCGGCAAATGAAGAAGCCGAACTGGAATCATCAAACGTCTATTCGGCAACTGCGGTTAGATGTACTCAACCGAATACAATCTACATGAATCGAACGGCGCAGTGCGTGCCGTTATGTCATTCGAGCCATGGCTATAATCAAGTGTGTATATCTTCTTGATCTTCATTTTAGTATATTTGACTGAGTTGATTATGTTGCTGATGAAAGGAGAGTGAAATCGTTCGTCTCGAAAGGGAAATTGATAAGATGCTCATTCAAATAAAACTAAATCTAAATTCGTTTAAAGGACGATCGTGAATGTGCAAGTACAACGTTGTTCATAATGTCATCAGTGTGCGCATCACTTTCGTGTGTTTGTTTATTAACCATCTGTACGAAGCGACAGTGCTTAGTTGCTGTACCCGAATTGTCACTTTTGTTTTGTTCGCTTTCATTTGCGCTTTCTGCAGTGGTTTATCTCTGCTCACTTCTTTATCGTGAACGGGTTTGTGTATCTTCTTCTTCGAATCGAATAACTTCTAGCAATCAAATGATATTCATAAACATTTCTTGTGTTCATTATACATCCAAAAACAACTATTCTTACAATTAGATTTAGTTCATTAAGATTAGTTTGAATAGCGAATCGAATGAAATTTACGAGTTCAAAATGAAAAAGTGCGTCAATTTAAGATTTCTTGTGTTCATTATACATCCAAGTCGATATTCGTTGTGGCTGGTGTGCAACACATTCCGTGTACAACCACAGCAATATTGTTATATTATTTTGGTACAACCGGGAGGTTGTGGTGGTTCGTTTTATGTTGTACGTGGAATAATTATGCCACGCAAAGGAATCACAGCAATCAACAGAATTCGGTACTTTTCTTTTTGCTAACATTCACAATAATAGTTTGTTCGTTTTGCCGTTAAGTGAACTGATGAATGGTCCATTATTCATACAGTTGATGAATATGTTGATGCCAGTTTCTTTGGTAGTGCTTGAGAACGCATTCAGTAGTAATATTCAGTTGAGAACGCATTCAGTAGTTGAATCAGTAGTAATATTTTAGGACAGCATCGTACTACGAATACATGTGATGGTGTGGGGCATTCCGCTGGGTTTGGTTATGTTAGCTTTAATGGCTCAGTCTGTTCACGCTGATCCTCTCTCGGGTATCTGCCTGGTTGGAGGTGGAAATCGTTTCATTGAAGCCATTTTCGTTTCGTTACGTGAACTCATTTTATTGTTGTGCTGTATTGTTCCACTGTTTTTCGGATGTTTAGCACTCATCGGTACGTCACTTCTTTATCAGTCATGATTTATTTGAATGTTTGATATTAAATATTTGAATATATTCAACCTAGAAACAACGTAAAGTTTACTTTAAATATTGAATAGTCAACTACGATTATGATCAAATTGCAGGTTCCGCACCAGCCAACGATCATTCTGTGGCTCTGTCTGGCTTGCTGGGCAGTATTTATCCGATGGCGGCTGCCTTCCTGTTGCTTAGTTCATTACAGTACGTCTTATCACCATCAACATCGGCATCGGCAAATGCGTGGAATATGATAACAGCAATGAAGTTATTAGCTGATCCTTTGTTGGGTTTATTAGCGTCTGGTGGTTGTTTATTCCAGATATTTTATAATCTCTTCAATCTGAATCGGTCATTACTCGTTGATAAACATGGATACCAACCAGCTCTGCCACATATTTCCCAATCTCAGCACGCATCTCTACCAGCCACGACGGCAACAGCAGCTAGTGCATATCCCATCAACAGGCATTCTGAACAACGACCGCTATGTTAATAAGATATTCGACGGATTTTGTTGCTCGATTTGATTTGACATGTACAAATATGATGAACTGATTAATTGATTTGTCTGCTTCTTCGTAATAACATCTTGATGGAATGTAAATGCTTGCTTTTGTAGGGAATGTTTTTGAGTGTAGTTATTATTTATATGTTGCACATATTTGTTTGTTTGTTTTTGTTGAAGTTATAATAGAATTTATGTACGAATGATGGTGATGCTGATAAGAAACATTAGATATGCGTATGTTGTTTAAAAAGTCAATATTTTGTTGCGCTTGTTGATGTGGTAGTTGAATTTTTAAGAAATGATTTGTTTTTGAGCGATTTGTTAGTGAGTTGTTGCAGTTGTCATGAGTGGGGATAACGTTTTGTTGGGCGATTGCATTCTTATACGAAGTATTTCAATGGGATTGAAATGAAACGAAGTTTCAGATAGATAATTGATTGTGCACTGAAGAAGTGAATAATTTTTCAAACGTTCCAAACTCATTGAATTGTTAGTCATGACATTAGGAAGGCTGCTTCTACGTGAATGCGTTATTGGTTACTAAGATGATAGATTTTTAAAGATGAGATTAAGATTCAGACAATCCTTTCTACTGAAACGTGGAGGAGGATTGCTAACACGCTATTATCTTTGATGTCTAAACCGTCATTGCTGAAGCTAAGTGTTTTGTGATGAACCTCCGAAAGGTTTTGTCATCAGGGTCAACTACTAAGCCATAGTTGCTGTTTTTGTTTTTGCTGTGCTTCTGCTGTAAATTGTTTATGTTGCATATATTTGATGAAGTTATGAATAAATCACGCCGGCTCAGATTGAAAACCTCCATTTCTTCAAAAACTTTCTCATACATCATTTAGTCGAGTAGGTATGGTTGTACATGTTCACTCTTTATTCGTAAATGGTCACTTTTACTTTCATTTCATGGTAACAGAAGAAGACAGGGAGCCGGAATGTCGTACTCAAAACCTCGATCTCAATAAAACTGATGGAAGAATGTGAAGATTGCTGACAGCGATGTATCATTTAAAAATTTAAATAGCTTGGTCTGCTACATCGCTTTGGCTTGCCAGCTCCGGCCCCTCATTTTTAAAATTCCCGCTCCGGCTCCAACTCCGCATATTTCAATTCTCGGCTTCAGCTCTAGCTCCAGCTGCGCGCTTTTAAAAGATCTGCTCCAGCTCCGGCTCCCACTGTTTCAGAAGTTCGGCCCCGACCCCGCCTCCGAAACTAAATTTTTTAATTCCCGGCTATTGTTTTCGGCTCCAACTGCAGCTCTGCTCCAACTCTAATATTCGCAATGCACAAGAGCACATAGATGAACAAATAACACAAGGCTACAACCTTTCAACACAAGGCTAATAAAAGCTCACAACTTAACTATTTCAAACATGAAAACCAAGCGTAACAATGGCCAAAAATGTGACTACATAGTCGACATTTCTGAGGGATAAGTGATACTATTATATGATAAAAATGCGTACGTGCTGGAGCAGAACTGAAAACGGATCCCGCAAAATGTGGTACTCGCTCGAATTCTAGGGTGAAGTGCGGAGAGATGCGTCCATTGCTCACTCCTTTCAACCTGATGACGAAGTACTGTTTGCTGAAGTGATATAACTTCCGTGACCTTGTCCATGTCTTCAATGAACTACGAATGATGCTTGCATCACTCTTATGAGTAATCAACAGTCCGGCTGACAAAAGTTCTCTCACACTTGGAGTTTCACCAATTTTCAAAATTACAATCTATTGTGGCCCATTTTTCGACTTCGCCTACAGCTTCAGTTCCGCATTCTCAACAATTTGGTGTCCAACTATAACTCCGGCTCCGCATTCCCAAAATCTTGGTTCCAGTTCTCGAAGTTTACTCTGCTATGCTCCAGCTCCAGCTCCGAAGCAATCTGAATCCAGAAAAAACTACTGTACAGGTCTTAGCTACGCGGCTATTGAATGTTGCTAATTTTCTTCTCAGCTGATTTTTTTTTGAGTGAGGCAAAAAAAATTTGTTGGCTCCGGAGTTTAGGCATCACTGATCCTCGTTTATGTTGCGACTTTGTGCACCATTTTAGTGGGTCAGACCCTCCGTGAGCTTCAACGCCTAAAGCGAAAAAATTTAACCCAATGATCTTCCAAGCAGATTTTTAAGCGAGCTTTCATGGAGTTTGTTATTGGGCCAAAAGACATATTGTTCTGAATTGGGACTTGCACTTTCCAGAGTATCATTTTTTTCCATATAAGAATTTGTCCCCTAATGCATATGAAAGAAAAGCAACGAATATGAACCCGAATGGATCGGTATTTCAGGAATGCGTGCTTTGTGCATCACCACTATATACTTGCTGAGTAATTCACGTGCTGAATAATAACAAGAAGTATGCTAAGATAGAATTACAGTACGTTTGTGACGCACTGGTTTGACATGGATGATTGATAATAATGATATGAATGGCAATTGAGATGCAAACGTGAAAATTTGTTCTAGTACGAGCGTATTATGAATTTTGAGAGCAGCTGTGAATGTGAATCGGGTCGTTGTGTTTACTTTCTAGCTTATGACAGTTTGTTTGATGGTTGTGTGCAAACGAACCAGAGCATGTTCATATAACGATCCTCAATTAGGATTATCCTATGCGTCTATAAACCAACATTTTTCTCGTCTGCTCGTTTATTTTACGGCTTTTTTCTAAGATTCCATTTTTTACTCAGTGCAATCAATTCGTCACATATTCAAGCTTCCCGTCATCAGTTAACTGGTTCATTTGTTGATGTTGTACTTACGGTTGGTACCTTATTCTTTACATCGCGTTTCGAACACAGTTCGTTCTAACTGTATTCGTGAACCAGTTTTACCATGAACCGAAACGTAATTTTCCACAGTAATCAATGAAAAATGAATTAATTAGTTTCAGCCAATGTGTAAATTTTTATTGAATATAAATAGTTTGATGACAGACTACTCCTAGAGTTCGGGGTATCATCAAGAAGTGAGAATAAGATGTTTGACCGGTACTGCAGTCGTCCTCATTTGTAATTTGTGGGAAAATGCTCCGAGAAGTTGTCTTACAGTTAGTCGTAAGCATTTCTGAAAATCTGTCGTCAACGAACGCTAGAACCTGGCTGTGACTCGTCCTTCAGTGATGATCCTTCTGATGAAGCAACCACTTCCAACCCTAGATTTCTTAAGAACAAACCAGTCCCTTCAAGTATCCTTTCACGAACACACTTTTCTCGCTTTACCATAAAAAAGTACCACTTTAAGTAACTGAAATTGGAAAGCTCATTGCACTGAACTGCCAAAAATGCAATACTAAGTGAATGCTATTCGCTGTGCTGCAAAAATATTGAAAAGTCCTTTCATGAGTCATCTCGTGCGTCTGATTTTTTTTTGAATAGTATGACGAGAAATTGCACAAGTATGATCGAATATGGTCTTAAAACGAAGCGGAAAGTTTTGATCTCCATCCATCTGAATTGGTTGTAAACCGAGATTCCGTTGTATTTATTATTGGTATTGCGAATAATATTCTATTCATGAACATGTTATTAGTTACATCTGCGTAATCATTAATAACTTTTGTACTTGATGAAATGATCTGCAGTTGATGAGCCAACTAAAGTAGAAGAGCATCGCTATGAGTTATTCACTTCTTTCTATTGCCCTTGTGGTTACTGCATCTATGTACGAGCAACTTTTTGCTGTTTTATTTTCTTGATGGGCTGCGAAAATTACCTGATTGTCGAGTTATATCAGTTTTAAATTACACTTTGATTGAGCAATCATCACCTAAATGCAAAATATCATCTTATAGCACTGATGCAACTGTCGTCATCCGTGAAAATTTTACAATGTTTACCTCTACAAACTAATTTACTTTGATGTTGCAATGCATCCAACATGTTGCGTCACCATCAGCCAAATGATTCTGAACACTCTCAACAAAGCAATAAATATCATTCGATTAAGTTAACGATGGAGAGAACAAGCTTAATCGTTGAATAAACTTTTGGGAATTCAGAGATGAGTTTGCTTATGCCAGATGAATTGAAAACACTCGAATGATCCAATTTCAGTGTTCTAAGATATGAATATGAAAACAATTGAAGTTGAGATCGAGTATGCTGTTATATGATGTATTAATAAATGCAAACGATACGAAGTAAACAAAAAACTTACAATCTGTACTCTCAAAACCAATATTTTGTACCAATGATATTTACTTAATTTTACATCTTGACAAATACTGTGGTAGGATAGTCTATTATATTCGTGTAGTTATTTCTGGATTTCCCTAATCGAATCCATATTGAGTTGAATGAAATCTCAGAGTTAGTTGAGCCTTTGAGAACGATCTTCAACGATGACGACTCCGACCACGGTGAAACTTTTACTGGACGAATCACGTCGTGATGCAGAAGAGGAGATAGGCAAGTACCTGTTTTATTTTCATTCTCAGTGTGTAATGAGCAACATGACTGTGATCTATTGACCTCAGGATGGTGTTTTTGCTTCATGATAACTGATCATTGCATTACCTCAATGAACCAAAAAGTAAACCTAGTCTAAAGATCTCATGATAAAGGATGATGGTATAAGAATGGATTTATAGTTAGATGCAATGATATGCTAAGTTATGAGCAAGAAGACTTACAGATGAAATAGGGTTTTTATAGCTTAGGATTGTATTAATTAACTGAAATGTGGATGGTGAGTTGTGAGGATCGAAAGAAACAAATTGGTAGGAGGCAAATGGACATCGCAGCCAGCATCGGCAACATCCAGACAGATCAGTCGTGTCTTGCCTTTTTGTACGTTCACGGCCGGTATATTGATCACGATGATTATTTGTTGTTTCATTGGATTATTTCTTTTACCACATTTCATCATTACGAATCAGTGCCAATCCGACGAACTTATCTCATCCGAACAGGTAATAGATTTTATTCAATCATTCATTTAGCTGCTCGCTTCGTTCTTTTTTTTCTTATCGAGCGTTCTTTTTTTTCGTTCATTCCATTCGATTCTACCCCCTTTTATTTATATTCTACTCACTTTTAAATTTATGTTCCTCTTAGTATCCTCATTCATCTTTCTCTCTCGCCCTCTCCATTTTCTTTAATCACATTTTTATTTTCGATAGTATCGTCTAGCTGGAGTATAAGTGAATGATCTGAATCGATTAAAAATGAAATGCGTTTTGAAAGGAATCACATGAGTTTTGAATGCTTTAAAGCATCAATCGCTGTGCAATGAATATTCTAGTTGAAAGCCAATAAGTTGCAGCCACTTAAAGAATCGCAGAGCGAAACAAATAACCTATTCGAAGATCATCATCACTTGATTGAAGAATGTGATCCATCACATCCTTGGCAAGCAATCCGAATTCCAGACAATATCCGACCTCTCACCTATAAACTCTTACTTCGACCGAATTTGACCACACTGACTTTCAGTGGCTCTATCGTTATTCAACTAAAGGTTTTCATTTTGCTGCTGTGATGGCAATCTCATGCTTCTACTCATCTTGTATACCACCTGTTTCTATGCAAACAGATAAGCCGCAGCCAGTCCTTGTTTCGTGTTTGTCTGTGCAATTTGTTTGATGATCAGAACATAATTAAATATAATGAATCGTTGATCGTACTCAAATATTCAGTGCCTTGATTTAACTCAATTATTCAGTGCGTTGATTTAACGAAAACGCGATTGTTCCAAGCATCTTTCTGATCGAATTCCTATCCAGGGATGAATTAAAGGGAATCCCCTCCCCAAAAGATTTTCGCCTTTCTAACCCTCGCATGATGGATAGGCCTGAGAGGCTTCGTGCCAGCCTTCCATCTTTCATAACTTCATGGATGCTATGGCCACGACCTGAGATTTTGTGATTTTGTTCATTTTCCTAATCTCAATTAGAAAACTGTTCTTTCCGAATCACTTACAGCACTTTATAGCACCGGAGAAGAACTCGGCCTCTCAGGCCCGGCTGCGACTGTGTTATTGTTGAGGTGTTTTTAAGCCTGCAAGACGAAAATAATTGTAGGAATTCTAACTTGTTTGATCCTTTCGAAAGATACAGCAGAACAGTGAACCAACCGTATCAAGGTGTACAAACAGGTGGCTATTGTAGTATGGACAGTAGAACATAATTTTATTATCATCGTTCATACGGAACTGCGAATTGAGTTCGAAACAAGAAAGCGCCAGTGACAAACAATAAGAAAACAATGTAAGCATGCAAACAGCTGCTGTCTGATTCAATGAACCGGCCAATTTTTTTCCTTCATTACGTTATGTGCCCTTCTGCGATCACACCTGATTTGTGCAAACCACGTTGCTGCATCATTCTTCGATTTCGAAGTGTAGAACATTTGCATTAGGCACATCTTGAACTATATTTTCAATTGGCTCGAAATCAGCATCGAATAGAATTTTTTTCAATTCATTGTCATCGTCTGATGAAACATAATTATCACATTCACCAGTATCATCTTCATCGTTGTCTTCCAATAGCACACACAAAACACAGCAATAACCAAGAACTTTTACGAGTACTTGAATACAAAACTTATTCATCGTGTTGTCGCTCTGGAGTGCACGCCACCCGAAAGCTTGATGACGGAATGATGTTTCATTCCTGTTACATTTAGAAATATCAGCATATGTTGAAATTTTAATGAAAATTCTCGTATTGCGAGTGCATAGTGCAATGCATAAAGCTGGGCATGAGAGGCCCCTCTCATCTCGGTGCTATTAAAAAACTTAACCGTGCGAGGTTTGAACAACTGCGGGTTACGCCCACTTTGTGAAGTCACGCCTTCTATTCCTCATTCGAATGAACATCCTGTTTGGAATATGTGTGTTTTTTTTAGATAGTGAATCCAACAAACTACATCATACTGCATGCTCTTCAACTCCATCTTACGTCATATGAAATACAAGCTAATGGATTACCCGTTCCAGCATACCACGTAAAGAAATTATTCTGAAATTCTATTACAAGCAAGATATCAGTGAAAGAAATTCCATTGAAATTTACACATTCTGCAAATAACAATGAAAATCAGAATGATTTATTCACGTGGAAAGGTTGGCCATAAACAAAGGACGATAAAAATGACGATTGGAATTCATTAATTACATCTTATCAGAGAAATGGATTTGGATGGAAGGAATGAATAAGAGAGATGAATTGACATTGAATCTAGTTGCAGAGTGAATGCGAACGGTTAGGGCAGTGGGCTTTCGAGGTAGTTGATCGCCAGTTAAACGAGAAAGATAACGTGAGCTTGGCAATCGATTATGATGGCCACATCCAGAATGATCTTTCAGCCCTCTACAAAAATGTTCATGTCTCAGAGGACGGTAAACAAATGTATGTAAAATACATCAGTTTCAAACGTCACAAACAAAATATCAAGAAAATCAAAGAATTGCACCCGATGCAGTGTGTAAACACACATAAAGCCTAAGTTTCCAGGAATGGATTGAGCGTAAAAGATACGTCGATTCCTTTTCAGTATTGTACCACAACAAATGTTCAGCTTTAATATAAACTCCTAAATGATAATTACATTTTGAAATTGAAGAATATCAGCTTTAACACAATTCGAGCCAACGCACGCGCGCAAGATGTTGCCATGTTTTGATGAACCCATCTATAAAGCCACCTTCGAAGTGTCCGTCATTCGACAGTCGCAACACACCGTCAGGGCCAATATGCATTTGGAACATAGCGAGCCATATACCGATGGGTAGGCCGTTGTTAACTGCACAATGAAAAAAACGTGCTGAATCAAGAGCAGGCTCACCTCATTGAAAATGAACTGATAATTTCACCTTTAAAAGATATTTCAGGTTATTCATCGATCATTTTGCACCTTCAGTCAAAATGAGTACGTACTTATTGGCGATTGCCGTTCTGGATGATTTTACAAGAATTCGAGAAATGACAAAAAGTACTGCATCCGCAGTAGAGGTACCTATAATATTGTCTTTGCTAGATTTCTGCTTTATTTCATGATAAATTCCATCTTCATACTGAATATTATACGCAAAAAGAAATACGGTCCCAATAAAATACTTTTTGTGAGCCTTAAAATCAAAAACTATTTGTTCACATGATCTTTGAATGAAATTCAAAGTCAGCTTCTTGAATGCAGTAGTTTTTTTTTTCGGCTGAGATATTTAATGACGGTTGCTTTATCGGTGTGCGAAATTTTCAATTGAAGGGGGAAATATTATGCATATTTCATTATCACTTTTCCACGAATCTACATCATACATTGAGACGAAAGCAATTGCTTCGAGCAGCAAATTTTCAAAGATCTGGCCTTCTCTAAACCTGAACATAGGCCGAAGGCTAAGTCCAAGAGCATTCGAGTGCTTCCTATGACTTATCGAAATATTCTTCGTTTCAACAACAGGTCAATCTGTTTGCGCCCACAAAGGTATCCCATCAAACAGAATTTGGTCTTAAAACAGGCATACTTGCGCTGGAATTCTTCGAATCTTATTTTGCAATACCATATCCACTTCAAAAACAAGGTGTGTCTTTATTTATGCAATGATTAACACTTCGAATTATTTCTTTAATTTGTCTTGATGAGAAGCACTTTGTTTCGTTTTGTTCCTTGCTGCAGATATGATTGCACTGGACGACTTCGCAGAAGGTGCAATGGAGAATTGGGGTATGATGACGTTTCGAGATGAGATGTTACTTCATAATTCGAACACATCAACAACCAAAAGTAAAGAAATCGTCGCGTTGGTCGTTTGCCATGAATATGCTCATCAGGTTTGTCTTTGCATTAGTGATGGTGACCGAAAAAAATTTACATTTTCGCAGAAATAATCTCTTGCAAAATGGGTTCTCAATTATTCGATTATTTGAAAAGTTTGCGAAAGAAAACTCTTTTTGAGATTGCAAGTATCGGTGTTCTGATCGAAATTTAAATTATTGGGTTGCATTGCAACCGAACAATTTCAAAAATTACCTAGTTCTGAAAAAAGGTTTAAACCGGAAATTCGGTCCGTCATCATTACCAGTTTGCATCAGAAAGGATCGGTTTTTCTTTCACTATTATTTTAGCTGATTTAATACAGCACTAGTCAGACCACGATTGAAATTACATAGCCAATACGTCAATCTGCGGTACAATTCAATTCACCGATTCATTTGCTCGTTTCCAATACGAAATTAGATCAACCACAAAATATTTGTTCTGATTTGAAGTGGTTCGGAAATTTGGTGACTATGAAGTGGTGGAACGATTTATGGCTGAACGAAGGTTTTGCGAACTTCATGGAATATCTTTGTGTCGATGAAATCTATCCGAACTGGAAAGTGGTGCGCTTATAATCCAAAATCATCAACCTCAACGCGCAGTATTTGCGTTCGCATTGCTCTTGCTAGTGCATTCATGAGTGTTTTGTTAAATTGCATTGATACCACTCTATTATTAGATATCGATAGCTACGTGGAAGCTTTATACCAAAGATCATTAGAATCCGAGAAAAATCCAGAATGCATAACGACGGTGCAAAGACGAAACAATGAGTCCCACTATTCTGTTACATTCGTCTATTCATTCACAAAACTTAGCTGCGCAAGATTTATGAAAAAATGCACTTCATTAATTGCTTGACCTATCATAAAAGTCATATAATCCAAAAAGACAGTTCTATCTGTTGAGATTAAAAATTGAACAGAAAACGACTCGATATCATATGATGCATAAATTGACTTTCCTGGTTGTTGAAAAGGAGAATTGTTTTGAGATGGACGATTTTTACTCAGAAAATTTCTTAATGAGCATGTTGCTGGATGGTTTTAATACTACGCATGCCGTTTCAACTTCTGTTGATGATCCTGCTCAAATTGGATCTATTTTCGATGCTATCTCTTATCAAAAGGTATTTTCAATACTCATTAAAGCCGTTCATTCAAATATTCAACATATAATCCGATCTCATTTTGATTTCTACAATCTCCTGATTTGACGCCATCAAGATAGGCTAATGGAATATGAAAGCGATATGCTTTTTGGTGATTTTCTAGGGTGCTTCAATAATTGCAATGATCATGGGTCTTACTGGAAAGGAGAATTTCAAGATGGCTATACGTGATTATCTCCAAACGTATGCCTACGGCAACGCTGATGGAAACGATTTATGGCGAGTAATTGAAAAGGTTCACATTCTTCAACTGGATCAGCAGTTCAATGAAATGACGTTGCTAGAGTACAGTAATATTACAGCACAGCTCCCTTAAAGCAATGAACTTATCAACGATGCAAATTGCCGAATCATGGACAACTCATGTTGGCTATCCATATATAGCAGCAGCTATTGATCGCAATCAAAATTCAATCGTGATTCATAACCAGGTGTTTACGTTGGCAAACTGAAAATTATTCCTTCATTCCTTGAGAGTGTATTGAACGGAAATTCGGTGATTTCATTGTACGACTCCGATTAGTGAACGCATTCTGTAATTTTACAGCTAAATGAAAATGGCAAGAATTTTTTTATAGACACGATTCATGTACTTACAAGAAACACAACATATGTATCGAACCGAATGGCCAATTCCAGTACATTATAGAAGTGATTATTCGACGGCATTGAACATCGCTTGGATACAACCTGGTGATCAAGATGGTACGTGTCGAATGAAACTTTATATTTACATTAAAAATTGCAATTTTATTCATATTTACATTTGATATGCATGCTGAAAGTTGATTAATTCCATAATGTTTGCAGTTCGTATTCCACTCGAGAAGTCTGCAAAATGGGTAATTGTGAACTCAAATTCGCTCGGTTTTATGCGTGTCTTATATGAACAAAAAATTTACGATGAACTCACTGAACAGTTACGAACGAATCATCAGGTGAATACAACGTTCGTTGTATTCCGATAATCATCGAGAAATAATTATTACTAGCAGTAAGCAAACCATAAGCCGCGAGACTTTATCACGGTGGTAAAAGGTTGACTGCTTATGTGACTAGCGGACTGTTTAAAGTAGTTTTAAGAGAGCAATGTGAACACTTTGTAATCATTTCGGTTGCTTTTGCAGGCGATATCATCGCTTGATCGAGCGTCAATAATTGATGATGCGTTCGCGTTCGCAAACGCAGGACTACTTCCGATTAGCACGGTTAGATATCAACTCGTTTTAGTGTAAAGTTGTTACTCGCTCGAATATTTCCAGTAAGATTAAAATTGAGAGGAATCAGTGACTGATTGACTACTTATGCGATATTTGACGTTGTGTGATCAATATGTATCAGAGAGATATTGAAATTCAACTAACATTAAGTGGAAACAAATGTTTCCGGACCAGAAGAACTCTCCTTGATCAAAGAAATAGAAGTGTGTCTTGAATGTCAGTGATTGGTGCTCATTTGAATATTACTTTTAAGGCTATGGGACTTGTGAGATATTTGGAGCAAAATGACGAGGTGGAACGCTCACCATGGAACGTAATAATTGCTCATTTGAAAATGATTGAAAACTGCATTTATGATTCGGAGCACCTTGATCTATTTCAGGTGATCTTGAGTTTTTAACGTTGGCGACAATCTGCAAAATGAACCAATAGAAACATGGGACATGACATTCAAACCGATAATGAAAGTAATAATTCAGCAGTTGATGCGTTCATTATTGGTACGTGCATATAATCGCCTCGGTTGGTCACGCAAAGAGGATCACGTTGACAGACTGCTTCAAACAGAGATCTTGGCATTGGCGTGTAAACTGCAAATTGAAGACTGCACTCGTCAAGCAACACAGCGATTCTACCAATGGACGCGTGACAACGAATCGTTCGTTTTTCTTTAAGATTTGTCATTTCACATGCACAATTCATCGACTCACTTGGTTCCATAACCGATTTAATTTCAATCTGTGACAACAGATTGATTTTACTTTCACTCGCAAACGTTCTCGTTCTCATCAGGTCGACCGCATAATCAGTTGTATTCCACCCACACAATTCATTCACTCCATTTTCTAATTTCATTTAGCTTTTTGATCGTTTCATTTATTTTTATATTACCCTTTCCGTGAAATAATAATACAACATACCAAATACCAACAACCAGTTGCACATCTTTAAGTATTCATCGATTCTTATTCTTTAAATTCCACATTTTATTCATTTGTTGTGCCTCTTATATCTGTCTACATTTACAAACACACTCATACAAATGTCTGCTCAGTCATGCTTTTTCAGTAACTCAAAAAATATGGGCATAAATTCGTAGAGGAACAAAAAATTGACATGTTATTGGCTGAATTTAAGAGATGACCCAGCCATCGTGTAATTTTTGCGGCATATTCAGTCATTTTATTTTTGTATTTTTCCATTAAAATCAATGACAGTTGTTGATTTATGAGATAAGAAAAGGGTCATCCTTTAAGATTTATCCAAAAAACTATCTTAATCGAGTTAATGCTGTAGAATTCCAATTGATATACAACCGCTGGTGATTGAAGAAGGTATCCGAAGAGGCACTTCAACTGATTGGGAACGTGTCTATCAAGAATATCTGCAAGCAAAAAGTCCTTCAAAGAAATTCATGCTGCTTGCCGCTCTTGCGGCAACACAAGATATCCGTTTAATTTATCGGTTAGATCTACCTGTCGATTACCATATCACGTTCGATTGTAGCAACTATTTCAACGTTGCTTCCATTTTCTTGATGGAAATTTCAACTCCCTCGCTCGGTATGCATATTCCAGGAGAAATTTTGAGATAACTGAATAATTTTTCAGGTTTATGAATATTTGCCTGAAACCATCTATAATCCGTCCAAGTTTGTTACCGAGAGCATTCTATCTTCTCATGCAAAATCCCAACGCACGTCTACATGCATGGCGTTTTTTTCGGATTCATTTCGAGCAATTCGATGAAACGTAAGTCTATCAGTATTATATATCCAAATGCTGAGCAAATCTCTGATGCGAGAAAGCAATTTCTTCAACCAAAATGAGCCACTGAAAGTGAGGAGAGTAAGCAATTGTCAATTTGAGATAAACTGATGAACAACTAACTTCGTTGTGCCTGGAAAAGTCGAGAATAGCTTAACTAGTCGATAATGTTTGTCGCCAATTCTAGAATTGGAAGTACAACAACTATGCTTGGCATGATGATCAAGTCAATCATCGAAGAGTTCAACACTCAATTTGATTTGGATCAAACATTACAATTTTTTAAACGCAAACAGGTCATTTTTTGCTGCACTTAAATCAGTTGAAACATTTTCTTTATCCTGGTTCATCAGTCCCGCAACGTATATGAGGGCGGTGCTAGATTGGATGAAAATCAGCATTAACTTTCTGGGTATATTAAGTATTTTATACAAATGGGATGTGATGAGGAGAACGGATATTTATTATAACTGAAAAATGTAAAGTGGACAATTGTTCGTGATGAAATCAAATGATGTGATTAATGAAGAAAAACGTCAATATGTCATTTAATAGCATGTATTGCTGTTGCTTTCAGGAATCATTAATTTAATAATTCGTTTTATTGGGGACAACCAGCATTCACACTCAAAAAAATTAAATGTCATTGAACAGAGTATTTGCATGATTGCTGGTTGTCCTCAACACAACAATTCACTAGCGTGCGATTATTTATTTCCAGCTCAAAGCATCACAACCAAAAGTCGATCAAGCACTCGACTCAATTCGTCTCAATATACAGTGGCGAAAACTCAATGAAAAGTCACTTAGTAAATGGCTACATGAATGGAATAATGATAGATCTCTTCAATAATTCATGAAAGCATCTATACTGTACCATTCTTCTCAGTACAAATATCGCTCTCCTCCCTTTTGTTTATCCGTCTGTTCTCCTCGTCTTTTTAAAACGCGTTTAATTACTCATCTTCGTGCGCCTTTAATCCTCTTTCCCGTTCTTAATTGTGTAACGATCATACGCATTCACCAGATGTCCGAATTTTCAGCTATTCATTCCCTAACTTTTATTAAGATCAAAACATAGAGCACGTCTACTGACGGCCACCGCATTAATAGTATATTGGAGTTCATTGCCGATTTCAATCTGACTTTGCGCCGTTACAATACCTCACTTAAATCGTAATATATTCTTCCACAGAAAATTTGCATCTGGAAACGAAATCACACTCGTGGTTTGACCAAATCAATCGTCACTTGTTAACACTCAATTTGGAATGAAAGCACAAAGGGTATGAGAATTCTGACGTTTTGGCTTTTGTTAGATTCGTTGTTGTTAATTGATATGTTTGAAAAGTGACAGTAATCTAATAAAGTTCACTTTATTCGACGATGCATTGTTGTAAAGAAATTCATCACTGACAATGAGTAATATACATTTGATTCATATTTTAAAGAAAAAATATTCAATATTTAATTAATAATATTCGTTAAGCAACAAATATATTTTTGAAACAAACTTTAGATGAGAATCATTTAGCTTACTACCTCATATTCTGAGTTTATTTTGCGCACATTCTCGTTCCACTTCTTCAAATTCTCAAGTATAAAGTGTTTAAGAGTTGGATCAAATAAATCATCGGAATTGATGCATTCAGTCGTTTAATTGTGAAAAAAAAGTACGGTCTCGTATGCATAATTTTTTGAGTCGAATTGATTAGGCTGAAAACGTCAAATAAAGTGATTGAACGATTTTGTTTGAAAATGAATCAATGAATGACGTATTATGAATATGATAAATACAGATAGATTATCGAGGGTCTGAAACGAATGCGATATTTTTTTAAACGCACAGCACAATAAGATCGGAGTAAACGTTGTTCAGAAACAATGGTCATCGAAATTTGTCGACGTCCATTATAACTAATTGAGCCGAGCGACCAATCCAAATGGATGGTCGCGTTGAAGACCTACGACAACGATGTACGGATGAATGATGAACGAGTGAATGTACTGTGAGAGTAAATGATGAGTCAAAACTTGGAAAGCGCTAGAATGGATACAGGAATAAATGAGTGGTCGTGCTGAGAGATGTGACAATCATACGTCAATCATCACAGCTGCACTTAACTTCTCTGAAACTGGTGCGTCATGAATGGATATTGCATTAATGCCAACCTGCTTTGTAAGCCATTCGATGAGATCGATTTATTTGTCACAGTGGATCCTTGTTCGTTTTTCTTATCACTCTCCAGTTCAGTCACCAATATTTGGTTCAGCTTCAGTTTCGGCTTTCAAATTGAGACTAAGATATGTATTTGTTGAAGATTTTTTGGTTCAATTTGGAATGTTTTCTTACACATGATGCTGAGATACTGTTTTTGTTGTTATTGTCGTTCGCATTAATTAGAAGAAATAAGTGCTGCCCAATCAAATCATATGAACGACTGGATTGATGAAGTGAAGTAGAAAAGAGAGAGGGAATAAGGTTTATGGATGGGCTGCTATTTTTTAAACTAAACAAAGAAGCAAGTAGGTAAAATAATCAGTTGCAAATTGTTTGCGTTTTGCTTTTAGTAACATTGCAAATATACAAAAAGGTTAGTAAACATTAATTGTGCGATAATGATCACGGATGCATTGACTGTATGTTTATTCCAGACGATTATCTACTTCTTTTGAGTCGATTAATTTTTCGTCATGTATAATTCATCGTTCGTTTGGTAATAATCAAATGGGAATTTCACTGCAGGCGATGTAGATGTCCGATTCAAATAAGAAATTAACATTCAAGAACTGTAAAACTTGGTTGGACAAGCAGTTTATCAACCAGAAACACTGATAACTTCTGACCTACTGTCATGCGTATTTAACGAAACAAATAAAAAATTGTATTTTTTTGTTTCCACTGCTACAACTCCTATCATTGTTATAATCGATGATGCATGTTTTGATTAAAATAAGAGTGAGTATGAATAAGGGTGAGAGATTAATGACAATGTTTTTCCTTGATGTATTGAAATTGAGGAAAAGGCGAACCAACGTTGAAGTGAAAAGACAATGATAAATGAATGAATGAAAATGCGAAAAGTGATTATGAGAATGAGATGAATTTAATTTTTGTGTCATCATTGTATCTCAAATGAACATGTATCTTTTACGTCAGTTAATATTTAGAAATATTTGGTGGATCGTGTAGTACAGTTGTCTAGGAGTATAGTTTATTGAAGGTTATTAATTAGTTAATTACAATTCGAATAATGAGGAGACGATAATCGACGGTTTGAATATAAATTTCAATAATAAGATCAATTCACCAAGGAAGGTGCCAAGTAGTGGCTAATATATATATATTTCTTTACCAATACACTCGATTAATTAACAATAACTATTCACGAACAATCCAAGGATATGGGCCAATTATTGGCACGCAGATTAATTCCAATATTATTTCAATAATAATTATCGCAATTTCACACAAGACGCGGCCGAAACTGACTTTACTGCAATCTGTACAACAATTCGTCTCCCCTTTCCTTCGTTCTTCCCGTTGCTTTTAAGCACGTCCATTGGCTTGTCTTTCTCATGCCCCTGCAAGATGGTATTCGTAGATAAGGTCATCTGCTGATGCTTTTAGCTTTCAGATGATGCCTTTGTTTTGACTGTAGGCATGCATTTTTGCTTGGAATGCATCTTTTCATAAACATGCAACAAAGAGAATGCAACAAATATGCAACAAAGATGTTGCTTTTCTCATACATTTATCTTTTGATCTGATGCTTTTATTGGATATTTTGGGAATTCGAAAAGGATTCGAAAAGTGCAATGTTTACACGTCTTTGACAGAACCTTCAAACTACCCATTGCTTGTTCGGTATCTTCCAGCCGCTTACCTTATTGCTCGCTTTGGCTTCATACCGTCTGGTTTGGTCTGTTCGACAAGAAGTTATTTGAGTTGTTTTATGCAAATCAGCCAAACCGAAGCCAACAGCCATTCTTCGGAACGATACGCGCAAACCGTATTCCTCCCTTTTCAGCAAAGCCAGCCATTCAAACATCAAATTACTTCCTCTTTTCCATTCTTTTATCCTTCCCTGTTATTGTTCTTACTTAGCATTTTCTGAATCATAAGGGTGCACAAACTGCGTAATCAATATTCCACAAGATGCACAAAAATAGTCTCTAATGTGACGATTTAGTAGCGTAACTGATCATTTCACAGATTGAAGAAAATGAGCCATTCAAAATGTGAAAGATTTCACTGACAAAGGAAGGTCATGAAGTTAGCCCGCTTTTCGGGATGAGACATATATCATATTGCAATGCTCGTGAATATTGATATCGATATGTTGTTGTTTTTGACGATCATAAACTTGGCCGAAAATGCTGCGACTTGATCCTTAACATGATTGTTTTAACACGATAGAACAAAAAGGGAAGGGAATAATTTAGTAGCCACTCACATCGGTTTCCAGGTTTCGATTATTTATGCGTCATCCTTGTTAATAACTTTTGTGTCATCTTTGTTAATAACATTCACATCTGTTAAATTTACCTGATCTAAGGACCGTCACTCACTTTCCAATCCTGCACTCAGTCAATAATTAGAAATGAATCACATTTTCAGTTTCAACTTCCTTTTCGTCTCAATAAAAGCATAAATGGATTCATAGTTTTTTAAATGATGATTTCAAATTGTTCATTGCAATAATTCACCGAAGCATTCATTGTATCACGTGGTGATACTCAGTTTTGAATTGTTGAAGGTGCGTTCATCAGGAGCCTCTCGAATAAGTCATTCAATTTTAATGTGTGTCTAGTTGCTAGCAGATATGATAATATTCGCCATGGTACCAGAGTAATTTTCAGCGAATGAATGCATTCGTGCATTGCGTAAAATAAGATATTTCAGAGATGTTACTCAATAAAAATATCGTACCTAAAAAACTATTAGCATTCACTTTTGTATGGCATGCAATTATTGCTTTCTGTGATGTTTACTCAACCTCACTGAACGTTCGGCACGTTGATGAATCGATGTTCACATTAATTTCGCCTCAACAACATTCGCAAGGTTAGCAACAACATTAGCACTTTCTCAACCTCTCAGTAATAAGTTTTGCATATTTTTTTCACTTGACTAAATTGTACCATTAAAATCGCCGGGAATTCCTACGAAATATACGATTTGCATGACATTTTGGCATAGCATAATTTATCGCGAAACAAGAGCGTTCACCTGATCAAGGAGAGTAAGCAATTTTGCATACGAATTCAACATTTTCCGGATAAAAAAAGGAAGAAAGTATTGCTTGATTTGAGCAAAAAGATGCATAATGTGTGTCGCCGTCATTAGAAATGCTGAGATGATAATACTGGCCTGATAAGAAGTAATACCAAAGAATGAGTTTTCACTTGAATGGTTGATAATATTCGAAGTGGCACCATTCAAGGAAAGCTGCGTGCATCTTCTTCGAAGACTGATGCCAACACCGACAGCACTCATTCGGTACTGCCCGGTACTAAACGTTTGTCACAGACATTCAGTGGTTTTATCGCTGGTGGTCATAGCTCGAGTGGCTTCGATTTGGAAACATTCACTGCTGTTAATGATGTTGGTACAACTCACAGCAACCACAACAACGAAGTAATCATCAATTGTTTTGGAAGTTCTTTTTATTTTCTTACAAGTGATGTCCACTGTACGACTACTCGATTAACTGGTTAGCTAATTCAGTGACTGATCACCTCAAGATGTGCGATGTGTTAAAGATGCAACTCTTCAAATGACCCATTTTATGATGACTGAATGCATTATTACAGCACAATGCATTCAGAACCTCAATTTCCACTAGTACTGCTGCCACTTCTTCAACAACAACGGCGGAAACGGAACATGTCAAGCATCCAACGCGAAAAGGTCGATTCGAACTGACTGAAAATTTCTTTTTCGGCAAACCGTCTTCATACAAACAAAAACCATCTTTTTTGCGTATTCGACAACAAAATCTAGATCGAAAGCCAACCTTCCGTTCATCCAAAGAGCAACGTTTTTTATCACAACCTACAGATAGTTTCCATTTCCAAAATCTGGTTACCGATAAACAAATGCTCAATTTCGCACTTGGATCTACCGCCATATCACAAGCTGTTCTGCCTGATGACAACATCGACGGCAATGTTTTCAGTGGAACACGAAACGACATTAGTAGCAATGAAAATGTGGCTGAAGGTATGGATTTGCAGGTTTATGTCATCGTGCATAATACAGTATCTCGATCTGCTGCATTTATTTTATAATATTATCGATATATAGATGGGTGATCAGGTTGATAAACGTTTGAATGACATCACAACGAGTGTTGAATATAATGGAACAATACTGAATGAATAGTACGAAAAAGCAGTCATTTTGAGCAATGAGCTTGACGACCTCATAACAGGAATTCCGTACATTCTTTCAAAAATTGTTGTCATTTTTTTGCAAGAGATTGCTTAAAAACAATCTTTGTGATTCGATCAATTGGAATTCACCGTTAACCTCACAACAGGGTCAGTCAGCGAAAACAACGATAAATGATCACGTTCGTTATGTTGTTCAATGATACTTATTTATCACAACCTACAGATGTTTTCATGCCTTCTCTCGGAGAATACTGGCATCGTCCTATTGAAGGCGATGGCAATTTCAAACTGAATGCACTGACAAATCGTTGGTGGCGTTGGAAGGCCATGCAGAAGGAACGGCCACGACTGTTCACCGAAGATGCTACCAGACGTTTTTCAAAAGAGCGATTATCAGTAGCGGACACTTTACGGTCGAACTTTATTGACAGCGTGGGCAAATTTCTCCAATCAGCAAAGAATTTATTAATTATTTACATGCAACCAACCATGTACTGCTTCGTGAACGTTTGGAAGCAATTTTTTTACAAAGAAATTTACTCGAAATGAGGAAATGTGACACGATCCTTTACAGTGGACATCTTCAACCCCTTTCAGGTGAGCAGCAACAACTGATCGAGTTTATCGTAAGATCATTCATTCATCAGGAATTAATTCATTGATTATTCATAATCGCACAGAAGCAGAGCGCCAGCCCAATATCTAGGTGGGACTGCAAACTGCTCATCATATCAGTTGCCACGATTTCCTTATACTCGCCGATTTTTCCATGATATCAATCAACCGAGCATGATGTATACTTCAATCGATCAGAGCAGAACCTTTCAAGCACTCATTTGACTGACTGCATTTTATCGAATTCATTCACTAAACAATCGCTCATTGTTTTACGCAATTTATTTCTTTTTCTATTCGATCATTATTTAGTTCATTGTTCTTTCGCTACTTTACAATGTATTTAATAGATATAAATTCGTCCAAATTTTGGAATGAACTAAGTGGCTGTAGCTTGATAAGATGTTCATCCCTAAAAATTTTATGAGTAACAACCATAGGGAAGACTTTACAACTAAATACTCGCAAAAAACCTAAAGAATTTTCCCATTTTCATTTTTGCCTCCACTTAGCAAATGGAATGCGAAACAGATGTGATTATGATCCGTGAACCCAACTGCAGGTGATTATATCTGCTGGTACAGTGCACCACAATTCCGTTCCAAAAATTCGAGTGTAAGCGAAAACATTTTTTTCCATTAACAGATGAGTATACGTTCGTCTGATTATTACCATTTACTTTATTATTTTATAATACTTTACTATTGTCTTATTTTTCCCATAGTAATCAGAGGGAAACGAATTAGTTCATTTTAGTCATTCGAATTCTTGACAATGCACATTTTTGTTGTCTCCTTAGGATAACAACTTTGTTAGAGGACTCTTCTTAGGGTTCAAAGCGTGATCAAGATATGAGAACGTGATGTAGAATTAAAACCAGAATCGTCTTTTACGATAAATGTCGGAAGATCGTTTCAGGAGTTTATCTTATGTCCAGTGCCTTTCCATTGCAATTATGATCAGAGTTCTTAATGTTAGAGAAACAACTCCTCATTACCATTACAGATGCCTCACATATCCATTCATGAACACAGTTTTCTTGTGAAAGTTTGCACAATTTAAACGTGCAAAAATTTAAAAACACTACATTGAGCCGTAAGAATAACTTGAACACCAAAAGAACGCTATCCACTAAGCCGGAGACTACTAATGAACCAAATTTTATCAAATATATGGGCAGGAGAATGATGAAAAAGAAGTCCGTAATTTTGATCAGAAACGATTGTGAACCGCAACAAACTTTCACTGATGATTCTGGCCACAAACCGACGTAGTCGAAATATCTGGAAGCTTGATTCACGATGAAAACTAAGAATTTAGCATGTGTTAGGAAAACTAGGATGAAAACTATTTTTACTTCATATGTGCATAATTTGTTTGTAAAAATAAACATTTTAGAGATTGATGCTTACGCGTAAGCGTGGGGACGTACATGAAATTTGCACACATCAATCGACCTTTTGCATACGTACCTTTCCGATCGATAACATTCAGCAAAAGCATTAGGGAATGCACCAAGAAATGTTTTATCAATATGCAATTTCAACTGATCATAAAAAATTCCTATCAAACTCAAAAATTGGTTACCTTTATCAGACTGAAACGAAATAAATTCTCACAGTTAATGTATAAAAAATTATGATGTTGATCATTATCCGAATTGTTTTGAGTCATTCATTCATGAACACTACTGTGACAATAATGATAATAATAAATAATACTAATTCAAAAAAGTACAAATTCAAGCCATTTGCTCGAATGTATTTATTTCACGAATCACAACGCCGCTGCCATGCGACATTCATGCTCATCACTTACCAAAAAACAAACAAACAAGACCAAAAATGCCAATTACGAACAAAATCATTGATAGATCATGAAACTAATGACTTTCTCCAAAGTGCCACAGTGGCAACTGACTAAACACTATGAAATCGAGCAATTACGCACAAAAAAAAGGCTGAGTGTTGTGTACCATAAAGAATTATCTCTAATATTCTCGCTGGAAAAATTTGAATTCTAAACGGCAGAAATTTGTCCAGAAAAAAGGAATCCGATATGTTAATGATGCCTCGTGCCTCAATAAACCTCTACTAAGATTATCCAGAAAAAAATTGCTGTTCACTATGATTCCGCACTTTAAAAGCACACAATCATGAGTATGAAAGAGTTATGAAATCAATAAAACGAAGGGACCATAGAGTGATTACGATCAAAAAAAGAAAACGTTAAGAAACGATACAGATTACACGAAGAAATGAACGACAAATGATTGCAAGATGAAAATTTCATGAAGTATTATAATGGTGAAAAAAAGAGAGTCGGGTTCCCCTACTCCAGGCCGCTCAATTACAACAGCGAGTGTTACCATAATAATATTTACTGTAACAATTACGTCGGTATTATCATTATCATGCTCACAACTATCAGGCACTTACATCACTTCCAAAAGGCTGTATTGTACAACAACAATAATAATGATGAAAATAATAAGAAAATAATAATAATAATATCACAGTCATCCTATTTAGTGGTAGCGACAGGGAATATTGAATTTCCGATGAAATCTCATTTCACACTGTAAAAAGAGCGGATCATTATTCGTAATATAACGCTGACTCAGAAAGTCGATCAGTGGCTGATTGATTGATTAAGAAAATGAAGTGAAGTGACCATTGTCATCATTACCATAAGCGTATCCACTCATTCGTCTATTCGTCATCCAAACAATAACTTGACAGCAATTGCAAAAATATTTATTGCAATTAAAGGGACTAAAAATGAACAATTTTATGTGAGATAATAAAATAACTGTGGAACAGCTATAAGTTAACATAAAATGAGCAAAAAAATGTTCGAAAACAATGACAGTTTTTTTTTAAGGGATAACTGAATTTAGCAATTCAATTGGGTGTTTCGTATGATAACAGATTATAAAATCTCAAAGTAATTTCACAATTAAATAGCAAAACCTCAACGATTAGCTACAACTGAACAAATGTGGAAGTTCTTTTTCTAATTTACATCAAACGATTTCGATTTCTACAACGACCTTAATGAACATAATAATGAATAGTAATGATTACTTCTCATCACTGTCTGAACGGCTATTATCAAATTGAACAGTTGCATTTTTACGGACGACGGATCAGGAGATTCAAACGAATTTGAAGATGCTGTCAAGCCAATCTTCAACGGGAAAAAACTGATTACATTATGTCGCGAATGCAACAAAATGGTTAATACATATAATCTTATTACGCATTTATCACTGATGCTAGAACACCAACATTTACGACTTTTGTCCATAGACAAAAGAGAATTTCGACTAACCGAGCGCAGAAATTCGCGTGAAATTCATAAATAATTTGTCAGCCAACGGTGAGAACAGAAGGAAATAAAACCAAATATTACTTACTCAACTATAGAGTTTGATATGATTAATGGAATAAATTTAATTCACTTGAGAAAGTTCTTTAGAAAAGAAACACGGAGAACGAATAAACAATGTACTTTTTTAAGAAATCTTTCTTTGTTGAGCACAGCAATTCCATTCAGTGCGAGCAGACATGCTTCGAGAAGACCATAAAATGAAACTGCCATTTTGATCTGATGAAAACGATAAATTAATAAATCAAGATTAAAACAACTCCAATGAGCATTATCAAAGAACAACTGATTATTTTCAAGGATGAGATTCAAAGAATGAAAAACGGTTCGAAAAATCACAGAGGATAATATTTTAATATGTAATAACGATCATCATCAGACGACTATTAATGCGTGTTTACAAATGAAACCATTTTGGATTTCATCTCCTAGTAGAATAGTTTTTGATTACGGTGATACGAAATCACAATTAATATCTCTTTCAAGTGGTAATAAGGATAATATTAAAAACAAAAATATTATCAACTGAAATGGAAATCAACCTCGAATATGAATGCGTCAAGATGAATTTAATGAACGTTTATTCAATTGAAGAATACAAAGAAAAACTCTCTGACTATCAATACATTTGTTTAGGTTCAATGAACTGGTACATTTATTTACAATTATATTAAAAACAAGTAAATTTTTGAGTATATGACTGATGTGAAATTGATCATAAAAGCTCGCTAACAGATCGATGAAACAGTAAGTTTGAAACGTCATTTTTTTAGTTACACAGTGCTACAGCGTGAACAGAAAGCACGCTAACTAACGATAACTATAAATCACGTATTTGGCATATGCAACCCAAATCAGTCCAGAAACTGAATCAAGTAAAAAACAAGTGGACAGAGAGAAGAGAGACAAATGAAATCCAAGCTTAAAGTGCGTTACCATTTAATCATGCATCCATTTCAATCACAATAACGGAGCGGATGGCCAAAAAACATCATCAGTGCGCGAATAAGAAATACATCATTACAAAACGAAAACTCTGACGAGTTGATTGAGCGGGAATATTTCCCTTGTTTTTGGACATTCAATTTGATTGTTTTTACACAGTTTACCGATTGTACGTTCACCATATACACGTCCATTCGGTAACATAAACGGTGGATTATTCTCATCGAGTGGTTCACCAGAATAAGGACACACCAGTCTGAAAGATACGCTTGGTCGTACCCACATATAATCGAACGGCATTTGTTGACAGATGTATCACTATGTCTACTGGACTAAATGAAATTGAAATAAAAATGAGAAATACATGCTCTGGAATAAATACCTAGAATTAGTGGTATGCGCAAAAGGTAGATCTTCAGCAAGTTCGTTGACATCTGGATGGCATATTGCACATCTGGAAGAGGGGTCTGGTCGACAGTGAGGCGTTTTCAGCGCAGACATACCCATACACAGGCATGCATTGAATGATGAATGCTCCATCAGCTGTATATTGAATTGGTTTTTTTCAGTAAAATTGTAACAAAATATGAACGGAAACAAGAACCTTGTGTTACCAACGCGTATTATTTAAAATATGAATAATATCTGCTGTTTACTGGAGAACAATTCTCATGAATTTATTCTCTTGAAATCAGCTTTGACTGATACACGAAACAGCATTGTTATTCGGAACCTTCGAATTAAACTTTTAATGTGAATTTAATAATCCGTGGAGATATTACGAATCAATAAAACCAAGAAAGGAACGAATAATGAATGATACGAAAAAAAGGAAAATGAAACGGCTAACCTGAAATATGCGTGCATTTTCTTGTCTGAAAAGTTCAATGAGCATGTCCCACTTGTCATCACTACAGAGCGCTTTATACGGCTCTATATTATAGCTGCGTCCAAAGCCAATTAATCCCATCACCTAAAGTTGCTCATGAAAACGATACGTTTTATTTTTGAAGACGTTATCTGATCAATGAGAAAGTGGCTGCTAAGCTAGAAACTAAATATGAATTTCTAAACTGTAAAGAATTAAAGCAGTGACTGAAGCATTCAGACAGACTCAAATTGAAGACAAATCAAAAATTGATTGAAGCACTGAAAACGACCTTCTACGATAATCGTGACACAAGCCATAATATATATTAGGCTTTCTACAAAATTTCTGGAACATAATCCAACTGATTAGATAAAGGTGAAACTGCAGCAAATTCGCTGTGAACATAAATAAAACTGCAAATCTTACAGATATTCCAAATTTCTAACCTTCAAAACGGTACCAGTCCACAGTTGAGGTGGTAAAGTTGAGAAATGTTTGCGTGCATATAGAACAGCCTGCATACGTTGATCTGAAAAGTTTCTTCGTTTCAAAACGTCCTATTCAATTCGATCATCAGATAAGTGAACCAATCTTCAACAATTATCAAATGAGTTTCGACACTAAATAATTGATTTTTACAAAAATAATTCTACCGATAATTATTCAGCTTTGTCAATACAACAGTTGAAAGTATTTGCTGAAGCGTCGAAACAATGATAATAAAAGCGAGGCAAAGAGGATCAAAAAACACCTACCTTTTTTGACCATTTCGATGCATTCCTGAATGCGAAGTGCTACCTCAAGATTACTCTTCATTCGACGTAGTTTCGATTTATTATCCATGATCCATTCTAGACAGCGATCCGTCTCATGACGAGATAAACTATCTTCCACCTATAAATGAACTGCAAAGTATTACTCTCTAAATCAATTTATCTAGACAATCAATTAAGCTGACCAAGGAATGCACTTAATTTATTCATATATAAATATATACCGCATGCAACTTGTTCAACATTAAAACAAATCCGACCTGTTTAGCAATCATGAAGATTGATTTGTTACACATCACTTCCACATCGCTTTGTTCAGCGAGTTTCTGAGCGCTTTCAAAGTAACCCGACCGCAACAAATAATCAATTATGAGCCTATTAATACGCTGTTGCTTCCAGGTTTCCCCTTTCCAAGTATCGCTCGTATTTGCCTCAAAAAAAACGTCGTATAGTGCATTCATTAGCACAACAATCCAATTAAGAAGCCACGATTTAATTACGTAAACAGAAAAATATTTTACATAATTATCATAATCATCATTCGATTGCTATTTATCAGCCTATTGTGTTAATACGCCACTGAAATAAACAGCTCAATTCGAAAAAGCAGATGTCGAAACTGCGACTACTTACTCTTCATCAAGCAATCAAACAAAATTCACCTCTTTTAGGTAGTTTATACGAGATTCCAAAAGTTTGGCCATAGCCATTTGGTCATTTAATACTTGAGTGAATGATTCTTGTAATGCATCAAATCGTTCCATAATTATTTGAGTCTGTGGAACTACCTGAAGTGTTAGTGAATGCATGCAAACAAAATTGGAAACAAGTAAAAAAAAAGGGAGCACTTAATAAAACTTGATAAATATAGCTTAGTGCATCTATTAGCCAAATGCATTTAAAAATAATAAAGAAGAAATAAAATTTACCTTGCCAACACTGACGATGTCGTTAATTTTTTCGGCTTCGACTTGTTTTGATAATTCATTAGTTGCTTCTCGAACTCGAAAATTATGACGGTCGATCGCCTTTTGAGCACTTCGAAATCGTTTATTGAGCAACTCGTACGGCACTTTTAGCGACGGATACTCCAATGCCGTTATTTCATCAATTTTAGAGATACCATTCATGTTAATTTCTACCAAGAAACTGAAATTTCGGTAATAATTACATAACACGGCGACATTTTAACTTAACTGACATGATTTACCAATTCCAACAGCTATTTGAAAAAAAATCACTTGATAAGGAGAACTGTGGCATATTTGAATCTTTCATCGCTAAAATACATGCCCATAAGGGATATACACGGTTTCTGGATAAAGATAATGAGGCTGCTCAGGAGATGGATAGGTACACGAGGAAAAACAAAGATGCCCCGGGAATGAAATGCAAGAGGAAGTGAATTGAGGTGAACCCGCTCATGTCAATCATATCCAGTACACGTACACTGGAATAATCCAATTTTCGTAACACTGACCCATACGAGTAATTTGCCACACTATTCAACTTTCATGCAGATTTTGGGGAAATTGATGAAAACAAACCAAGTGTCACGGCTCCAGTAACAAGCCGTAACACTTTGTTTTCGATTCAATTTGGGGAGTTAGCTTCCGCATGCTTCAAGCACAAATATGGAAACCTAAACCAAAAGTATACAGGTTACGGCTGAACCACGTTTCATTTCACTACCGGTTCATAGAACCATTACGGCTACTATTCATTTAATGTGAAATAATAAACGAACTCGGTAATCTTGCATTTAAGGTCACTAAAATCAAAACAGCATTTCGTTCGTTCACATTCGCACTTGGTAAGCCTAAGCTCAAGCCTAAGCCTAAGCCGAAGCATAAGCCTAAGCCTGAGCCTAAGCCTAAGCCTAAGCCTAAGCCTAACTACACCACACACTTAACTGCAAATGTGAACGAACGAAATGCTGTTTTGATTTTACTGACCGTAAATGCAAGATTACCACGAATTCCATTAAATTCTGCTTTGCTTGATGGAGTTGGTCGAATCGCTTCGATGACTGCCGATACCCTCATCAACTTCTTGACCATACATCCTTATGGTTTGGCAGTTATTTACAGCGGATGCGGAATTCTATCACGTTCAATTTCCCGTAGAACCGATTATCCAGACCGAACTATTCATTTGCTATTCGAAGTTTTAAAGACTAAAACAGATTGATTCCCGCTACTTGAACTGTACTATCAGCTTTAACGTTGTGGCATTGAAAGTTCATGGGTTAATTGTTAATATGGGTGACCGACAAATGCATCTACGACAAGTCTAATTGCGACAAAAAGCACCATGCCACTCAATGACGAGGTTGGGGTAAAAGAAGCCAAATTGCACTTTCGTACGCGCGCGGGCCCGAATGTTGAAAGGAGAGAGAATTAGAGGAAAACGCTTCGTAAAAGCGCACAAAACCAACAGAATGAATGTAGCTGTGAAAGCTAACAACGAGAAATCGTCGTAGTGCAACCTTCCTTTCGTTTCGATGTATACATGCAGGAATACTTTATATTATTCATTGAGCAGTTTTGTTAATGTTGTTCTTAAGTATCCTATCGCTATAAAGCGATTTACACATCAGAACGATTCGAATGCATAGAAATTGAAGATGTTGAATATCTCAATTGTATCAATCCTCCTTTCTTATGCATTTCCTCTTGATTCAAGCTGATCAGAATGCCAATTGAGAATATCTTCCAAAAACAATCAGATATCGTTACTTATAATAGGCCATGTCCTCATGCTCTAGTCTTCAGCCAAAGTAAAAGTTATAAATCAAGGCTTCCTTTTGATGATGCAATTTCAAATTGCTGATCAAAGATCAAAACTGTTTACACCGATGCGTTTTCAGTGCAACGGAATTTCGCAATATGCTTCTGAATGCGCGACGTCAAAAACGTCAAGCGATTTACATACTTACAATGCTTTAAACACGCACGTGTACACCTACGCACGCTCGCATCCGAGGCATGACACTCAAGATTCTCCGAACCTCTGCATCTCTACTCTCTCGTATATTCCCGTTCTATTTTCTTCCTCACTAGTCATCGCAATGCTATTTCGACAATTCCCGACTTGATGACGAAAACAAACACCCCGCCTGTCCATCGATTTTTAGCCTCCAAGATGGCTTAAATCACTTTCAATTCACTTACAATGATTCTGTGACTGTTTAGATGCATTTTATCTGATTGGCTCTAAAGAAATTCAATGCCTCCGGATTTCATCCGGAATGAAAAAGCTTCCAAGATCCCAGAGAATGATCTCGGCGAAATATCTTTTTTTTGCACTGATGTTGAAATTCACTCGCTAGTGATATGATATAATAATATGTGCATGCTTTGTTGAACACTTCGTTGTGATCATAATGTGCATTCTATGATCTGTTGATGGTTCTATACCAATTGATCACCACAGATCATATC